TTAATAGGTCACTCTGAGTCCCCATCTTCACCTATGGTCATGAACTTTGGGTACCCACCGACAGGGTGAGATTGCAGGTACAAGCAGTGGACATGAGGGGTCTCTGCAGAGTGGCTGGGTTTACTCTCCATGACAGGGCAGGGGGCCTGGCTATTCGGGAGAACAGCCGCTACTCCTCCATATTGAGTGGAGCCAGTCCAGGTAGTCTGGCTGCCTGATACAGATGCCACTGGGAGGCTTCCACGGAGTCTCTTCTGGGCACATCTCTCTGGGCGGAGGCTCAGCGGCTGACCCAGGACATGCTGGAGGGACTGTATCTCCCTACCTATACCCTGGTAGGGTGCCACGGAGCAATAGGCCATCTAGCTCTTCAAGCTCAGAATGGTTAGAACATCACCCCCTCCTGCTTCAGTGCTCCCCCGCATCTGTGCCATGTAAGAGCAGCTGCCATCTGCCATCTGCGTGGCCTGTGGGGTGGCGTGGGGAGGAGGGGAAGGGTAGGCTTCCTGCCACTCTCGTGGTGCTCCCATGCCAGTGCGGGGCAAGCTAATGTAAATGAGGGAACATGCTCTGGAGTTGGCACTGCATAACTCACTGTCTGTGCTGGAGATGTGTGCCAGGGGTTAGAAGGGAAAGGCCTTTGATGGAGCATGGTTTGTCTTTGGAGCAGTTAGCCTGTGGGGAAGAGTGGGGAGAGGACAGGACACCAGCTCTGCCATCCCCACAAACAAAGGCACCAGGAGGACCTGGGAATGAATGGGGAATGAGGGAGAATGAGTCCAGGGGAACAGAAAAAGAGCTGGCATCGTAATTACAGTCTATTAGCCCTTTAATTAAAATAGATTTACATTTCTGTGAGCTGCTGCCGGCAGGAGGGAAAAAGGCAGCAAGCCAGGATCCAAGCATGGTCAAGGCACCAGGGTGAAGGCAATTAGCTCCTTCGATGCGGGGAGGAGGCAAAGGGACTGCGGCTGGCCGGCTGCTTCTGGGCCAAACATTCTGCGCACCTTCGGGTCTGGCTCAGCTTAGCTGGAACGTGCCCAGAATGCCCCTGGCATGGCGGGGCCGTGCCGCCAAGCACAGCAAGCTGGGCAGAATGGACTGGCAGAGGCACAAGCGGCAGGTCACACGGCTACTAATCACCAGCCCGGATTCTGTGCTTTGTGTTCAGTTCACATCTGTGGATTACAGTGGGAGCTGGCTGCTCCCCAATACGAATACACACACTCTCTCATGCACCTAGGCTGTGTCCAGACTCCATGCCTCCTTCGACGGAGGCATGTAGATTAGCCACATCGGGAGAGGGAAATGAA